TTTTGAAGCTTTTATTTATATTTTATATTGAATATTGATTTAATTTCATTTTATAAAAATTATTGACAGTATTTTATCAATAGCATCATACTTTGTGTGTGTGTGCGCGCGCAAAAGATTCTTATCTAACACTCAGTCCCATTTTTGGGTCATCCTGGCCCCCTGCAAAAAATTAAATCGAAAGACAAACAATGCAGCAGACGAATTTTTTTTATCTAATCTAATATTCTTTACCTAGCATTCAAATAAACTTTGATATTTTTTATTTGTATGTTGAACATAATCAAATGGAACATTTTTTTTTTATTTCAATTTTCATAATTTATTTAAAAAAAAGGTTTCTTGTGTATTAGAAAAATAAATAATCCAGACAAACTAACCGGACTTCCTATCACCCTGACTCATATTATATACATGGGTGAAGGATGTGAACACTAGTATAAACTTACATAAGTTTGAAGTTGGTTTAAGTCAACTTTCTCAAACATAAAATAAACAAATGAAAAAATAGTCTAATACATTTTGTTCAAACTTTATAACAAAATAAAACAAAATATATACAGAAATATATCAACGCATATATAAGTCACCAATGATTTCTTTTAAAAAAGATATGTTGTTTTTTTCATATTGGGCCTACAAAATGATATGGTATCTTTTTTCCTTCAAACCTTACAATAACATAAGAACCCTCTACTAATGGATATTTAGAGGTTGCAACCATACCAGAATCATGTACTTCTTTATCAGAATTAGGATTTGATTCAAAGCTCTTTTTTAAGCAGTCTTCATTTAAGCAGTCTTCAAGCTTTTTTTGGATATGTGTTTGCTTTTGATGGAAAATGGAACCATAAAGGCCAGAAACACCATTATATAAATTACTTTTTTTAGCAAATAAATCTTTTTTTTTTAACGTTTTACTTTTGACTTTCTGTATACTCTCAGATTTTTTTGCAGAATCTTCTTGTAGCTCTATATACATCTTGGAGCTGGAACGCATATCATAATCGATAATATCTTTAAAACTATCCATATCTACTGAAGAAGTTATTTTATCTAAGGAGTTGTTCAAAAGGATATTTTTTATTTTGATTAACTTGCGTTTTGATTGGGATTTTAAAACAGAAGAAACTGCAACATCATCCAGTGAAACACTTTTTCCCCGTGAAACCTTGACTTTTTTACCCTGCAACACTGCCCCAGCTTTTTAGCACATGCTTCTCTAAGTTCTTTAAGACGTTCAAGAACTAACGGGGATACTAAGTTTTGAGAGGATGTAGAAATATCTGCTCTTAAAATCTTATCAATAATTTATTTTCTGTTTAGCGGGTAGATACCAGATGTTTTAAACCCATTTACAGCAAACTCTTGTATGTGGTCCATATTAGATATTAGATTAAGGAGCAATCTCGGGAAAACATTTTTTGGTAGGGGTGTATGAAACCTCCCTTCCCCAATTTTCCATGCATTAAGCACTTTTCTCCATGTTGATTTCATGGGTCCATAAACTGCAAGATCTAGAGGTTGTAGCAAATGTGTACTGTTTGGAGGTGAAAAGACCATCATAATATTATTAGCCTCACAAATTTCTATAACCTCAATAGACAAATGGCATGCTAAATTATCACCAATGAGAATTTTTGGTGCGCCACTGTCAACATGTCTGAAGTAAGGTATTATTAATGTTTACATCCAATCTATAAAAGTGACTATCAAACCAACCAGACTTTGTTCAGTTATATCGTGCACCCATTGTACCTCCAAGTATCCATGTGTCCATTAGACGCTCAACTTTATACACTGTATATGGAGGAAGAAATACACCATCAGCAGAACATGCAAACATAATAGACACTGATGACTTTGATGTATTCATAACTCGTTCAGCATGTTTAGTACCCTTTCGGAATATCATTTGTTTTGATTTTGGGTCATCAGAAAGATTTATTTCATCATAGTTTATTATATTTTGAGGCAAAATATTTTTTATAGTTTCTTCTAAATTACTACAAAATCTATTTACAGAATCACATGAAACTGCAGCACGTTTTCTACAAATATTTTGACATGCTCGATAAGATAGCAATTTTTTATGTCGTTTTAAAAATGATCTCACCCAATCATTACCAGGCAAATTTTCTTAAAATATGGGCAATCCCTATCAGATTTTTGAAGAAAGCTTTGTATAAACAGCTTTAGGTCTACTATTTCGAATGCATAGCCAAAACCACTAAAAGTTGCAATGTATTGAGCAATTGTTACTTCCTCTTCTGGTAACAATGCACACCTTCGACCAACCACACTAGTTTTTCTTAAACCACTAACATGACATCTTAGAGTTCTGTGTGGTATGTTCAATAGCCTTGCCACACGTTTACAAGGTTCTCCATCATTAACAAGTTCAACTGCTTTTTTAAGTTCATAATCTGTGTAGGTTTTGGGAAGTATTTGTTTTGATTTTACGTAGTTTCTCACCATTTTATCAGATATCTAATATGTAAAAGTAAAACATATAAGCTAAAATTTAAACTATTTGCACCTTTAGATATTTATTTCATTAACAATAGTATTCAAAGGGTAAAAAACAGCTATTTGAAAAGGTGCTCATTTACCCCAAATAATAGTGCTCAATTACCCCACATTACTTTAAACAACAATATTTTATTAACAATTCATTTATGAGACTTTAAAATTTATACGAATTTACCTTAACATTTGTATAGTATACTACAAAAAATTCTAAACTCTAAGAAGGTTTTAACTATAACTGCTTACCCTTAGTATTTCCAGTAATTAGTTTTTACGGAACTCTATGATTCTGCATCGTGATACATTTAAAATGTTATCAGCTATTTATTTTTGACCAAAACAGTTGTAATTAACAACATACAACTTAAAAAAGTTAATTTAAATATTTATATCTTGAAAATGATCTAAGCATTGATATTATCTATTTTATCTGACTTTTAAAGTTAAAATGTTTACGGGTGCTCAATTACCCCAGAAAGTGCTCTACGGTATCTATAAAAATACGAGTTTTCCGATCAAGAAAGAGCTTATGATTATAGACAATTGCTAATAAACAATCAGAGCAGAAAACGTATTTATCTAAAATCTTATTCTAATTTGGACGAGCTATTGTGATTTTAAGAAGATTTTATTTCATAAAAAAGAATCTTAGGTTTCTTTGCTACAAACATTTATATTTTACGATACCACAAAATTTATCATTTTGATTTTTTTCGTCTTTTAATAATTCACAGACCTGATCGAGACGTAATTTATAGAGCTGAACGAAAATATGTTGTCAACAAAATATCATACCGACGCTATAATATTTTAAAATTACCTTAACTTAACAAAGATTTATAGAATCTCCTTTTATTACCGCAATTACATCATTTTATTTATGCATATCTTTATTAAAATTTTATCATATTTGATTACTGCATACTTACTCTCCTTACGATGCTTTTTAACTTCTTCCCATAGTTTTTTACGATGTTCCAGGGTTTCTTTCGCATAATCTTCATTGATAAAAGTTTCAATTTATTTAAGTTTTTTCACAGATGTTAAAATTTTGCATTTATCATTATAATTTAGGAGTTTGAGGGCTATAGTTCTTGGTAGTTTGTCTTTAACTCTTCCTATTCAATGGGCTCGCTCAACCACTATATCATTAGTAATTCCAAGCTGATTTTTAAAATATTTTCAACTGGTCTTGCACAGCCATCCCACGTTTCTGACGGTAGTTCTGCAATACCATCAATGGGTGACAGGAATAGTGTTGAAAAATGAACTTCAGAATAGTGTCGAATATATTAAAAAAGCCTAATGTCGCAAAAAAAAAGGTACCGTTTGCTTATCTTTATAGCCGTATGCTATAAAGATAAGCAAACGAGTAAGCAATTGCTTACGTATTTTGCTTATTTTTATAGCATACGGCTTTTACAGAAAAAAAAAAAACAAGAAAAAAACAAAGAATAATAAAAGAAAAGATTGCTACCAAACCCCAAACCCTCAGTTGAGGTAGCGGCACTCCTTTGCGGTTGCAGGCTATAAGATAGTTGGTGTATGTACTGAAGCCCCCGGCAGCTGGCTTTTTTAATATAACATTATTTGTTAGGATATTATTCCTTTTTTTATTTTCAACACTATTCGTTAAATTCATTTGCGACATTATTCCTTATTTTGTTATTCGACAATCAATAACTTAATCAATAACAGTCAGTAACTTGCGACACTATTCCTTTTTTACATTTTCGACAATCAAATTTGCGACAATCAAAATTTTGCGACACTGTTCCGTCACACCTCAAAAACTCTTAAATTTTCGCGACAATAACTATAGATCTAGAAAATAGATCTCGATGTTGCGTTAATCAAGTTATCGTAAACGTAAATCATTTGGATTGGCTGCTTATAATAAACAATTAATGCCCCCTTGGGAATATATATAAATAGCGTGCTTATCGAAGCCTCGCTCTCTTGGAGTAACCTATCAAACATCAACGGACTCGAGCAACTGTTCTACTACTAGCTGTGATCTACAATATCTTTCTTGTGTTTATCGTATTTTTGTATATAATATATTAAGTATAATAAATTAAACTCGTTTTGCAATACGACTCTTACGTAAAACAACATCTATTTTCTAGATCTATAGTCTTTTTTTATAGTTTCTTCATGAACAAACTCTTATCAATATACTACTATATAACACTGGTGTTGAACATTATTTTTTATTGCTTAATGACGCTGCAACAAAAAATCTCGAGTTTGATTACATACACACGTCTGAAACAGTTACGCACACTGGGATTTTCTAATGTTTTAGATATAGGACTTTCAGACATTGCGCAAAATATCATGGCTACGCCACTGTTTATGCGTATATATATTTGCTAAAAATCTTAAACTTTCATTCTTTTGGGTTCTCATAATTACGTAAGTCATACAATTGGGTAATTTTATAATCACTAAATAAAAAACTTCAGTTTTTTTCATAAATTTCAATTTTTCTATAAATTTCAATTTTTGTATAAATTACATCAACAGTAAGACCAATCTTTTTCTTTACGGCATTTAACAGGACATGTTTGTATTTTTTTTATTTTACAAGGACGTGGACACCCAACAAATAAATGACTTTGTTTTCGTTTTGTTGGAAAAGGAATTGCAATACCATTGCACCTGTAAGAATCATGAATCATAATATCATTTTTTATAAGCGGCCATATATACTGGTTCAATGTATGTTGATCGCTTCCATACGGTGGTGTTATTTTAGAATTTCTTCTTGAGGACTTAGCCAGTGCTAAAGCAAATAGTCTTTCAGCTAATAATCTATTCTTAAAAAGTTTTATGCACCACAAGCCGCCCATTATTGATGAAGTATGCATTAAATGATCGCGCATGACGTGTGACATTTTATCACCTAAAGTTAAACAACAACAACAACAATAACAAAAAAAATCATATATCTGTTATATGATTTTATTTGTTATTTCTGCAGAAATACTGAGTTAAACGTATTTCTAAGTAGTATTTCTGCAGAAATACTGAGTTAAACGTAATTAAAAATAAATTAAAGTATAGCAGCATTGTTGAACATTAAATATTTCTTTCAAAATTGATAGGAATATTTAATTTAATTTTTTTTTTTTTCAATAATTAATATACCTACTAATACTGCATTATTGGAAAAGGATTGGCTATCGCTAACAATTTTCCTATGAGTTTTGCATTTTAAATAAAATATTGAAAAAAAACAATTTAAACGCAACGTATGCTTTTATTTTAAAACTGTATATATTTTTTAAATCGTTACAGTTGGGTAGTAAAAGATAGGAAGAGGTATTGAATTTTTCATGTTGTCAGGAGGTCTTAAATTGCTTTAGCTATGTATTTTTAACCTCTTTATTAAATATTTAACTATTGAGTTATTTGATCATGAGTTTTTGAATTGTCCAGCGAACAAGTAATCCAACAAATATTTTTGTAAAATTTACTGTGTCCACTAGGAGACCATTAGTACCATCTACTGTTAGTGGCCAGCTAATAGCTTTTCAATATGTGGTATAGCGGCAAGTCATCGACTCGCTATCATACCAAAAGTTAAGTTACTTTTGGCGGCTGCCACTAATGGTGCATTAAGTACCCGATGAACAAAACTCAGTAGACCGCTTAAAATGTCTTAATGTGCACGTAAATTCCGCTATAGAATGTTAGCTGGGAATTATACAGTAACTTTTAACTATCGTTGTGTATATAAACTAAAAAACATAAGAAAAAAAAAAAAAAATTTGAGTTATTTTTTATAATTTAAAGCTTTTGCGGCATTTTTTTGAAATAGTTTCTACTAATATTTTTCCTTATTTTAAAATAAAATATTTAAATTTAAAATTAGGAAAAATGCTATTTAGATAAATTAGTTGAAAAAAGGAAAAATACTAGCAGTTACTGAAACAACTTGAAACAACAAGAAGTTTCATTGTCTATATAAATAAAATTCCCGCATAGCAATAATTATTTCATTTAAGAACTAGTTTTTAATTTGTTTACTTAAATTTACCAAAACTATTGGGTAACTGAGCTTACCCAATGATGTTTGTAATTAAGAGCCGCTTTTTCTAAGAATCAGGCAATTTCCTTAAACTGCGGAAGTGATCTCCTTCAAATTGCTTGAATTTTTTATATATTGATTAGAATATAGAGAAAACCTGTTAGGGAAAAAAATATTTTTTAAAATTATTTCGTTCACTCGGAATCTGGGCTTAAATTTTTGAAATTTTTTAAGAAACTTTTTGAAATTTAGTTTTTGCCACCTTTGAACCCATTTTTATGGCAAGGCAAAAAGTGTGCAACTTTTGCTTTTGAAGCTTTTATCAGACTTAGCTTTTAGATTTAGACACTGTGCGGTTAGCTAATTATCATAGTTCAAAAGTACAAAAACAATCAGTTTTGTCAATTTTTAATGGGAGTTATTTTTAGCGGCGAAGTGTTGCACACGATTTTTCTTTTAGGATTTAAAAGTATTAAAGGTACTGAGTCTAAAAATGCAAAGAAAGTTATGTGATACCTAAGGCCAATTTATATATTAAGGATTGAAATTGAAAAAAAATGTTTTAGTATACTTACAAAATGAACCATTACGGCAGAGACGCTACGAGAGAGTTTTGTAAAAATGTAAACATATCCAACTGTAAATACAACGTGGTCCTTACATAATAATAAAAAAAAACTCGTGTAATTTTTAGATATTAAATTAAAATTAAAGGTACAAAGTGTTAAAAATGATTAAGTACGAAGAGATATTTTTTGGGACACACAGATGAGGGATTCGGATCGGTTTACGCTTACAATAAAATGTCTATCATCTAAAATTAGCGATTAGCATTACAGAAAAAATTGCACGTAATGTTAAGAAAAAATTTAAGCGTTTCTGACTATGATATAAAAATCATAACAATTAAAATAAATAATAATAAAAAACAATATATGGTCAGAAGTGAATTATTTAAATTTATGTCATAACCAAATAACTTGTGGTGATTGAATGGAACGAAGAATCGCCGATATCACGATTGTGGAGAAACTAGTTAGTGGGCGGTTGTCATAAAACAATTTATTTTACCATAAAAATGTCTTAATTTTATTTTAACGATCTTTAAAATTTGCATAATTAGAGTAGATATTTTATCATTGTTATTGAGAAATAGGGGCTGCATAATAAGAACTTGTTTTTAGTTCATTACTATGATTTGTGCAAAGCTATCGAGATGATTAAAGAACTAGCAATTTAAAATTCTGACAATGCTGATTCTATTTATGATTTGGAAATTGTTATAAAGGATGTATTCAACTACATAAAACATCTGATGAGAGATTCTCAACAGAAAAAGGCAAAAATCGAACCTTTTAAACAATTAAACAATGAAACTGCTTTCTGGCTTTAAGATTTTTGTCAAAAAATTCTTCCGGTTTGATACAGATAGGGCCAAAGAGAGTATTTTGGAAAGAAAGGATTGAGTTTACATGTGGATATATTCTTCATAAAAATAGAAGGAAAGTTATTCAAACGTGTTTACTTTACTTCAATGTATTGGTGTGATCAGGGAATAGGTGATGTTGTTTCGTTAGCCACTGCAGTTTTATACCAATTCAGAATTGATCAAGTGCATATCAAAAAGATGTTTACCAAATCTAATAATGCCAGCTACTATCAGGGAAATCTTTCAGCTGAAGCAATCTACAATGTACGCAAAGAGAGATATATAAAATTGCTGAGATATGATTAAAATGAACCCTGTTGTGAAAAAGAATAATGTGACAGGGATAGTGCAGTTGCAAAGACAATCTTAAGGAGTTACGTTGACTCAGGTAATAATCTTTTGACTGCTGAAGATATAAACAAGGCTATGTATTATAGTTTTGGCGCTAAAGATGCAAAAGTAGCAGTTGCTCAAATTAGCAATGATAAAATTGTAGTTAATGTACCAAAGATTAAGAACATTAGCAACTATCACTCATTTGATTTTGTTGAGAAAAGTATGAAGTTGTGGCGTTATTTCGATATCTGTGATGGAATTGAACAAGAGTATGGATATCTTGAAATTCAACCCTCGATTAAGTTGTTGGACATTACCAGTTTGAAGTTCTTTTAGATTTTTAAATCAATAGAAAGCACTGTTGTATAAATACTTTATTTGTGGAAAAGAATCATGTTATAAAATGATCCCTGAGCAGGTTCACATGCAGCTGAGAAAAGAACTTCTGCCTGATCAATATGTAAAGTTTTGGTGGCATTGCTGCTATCAAAACTTTTACAAATTAGATTATGTTTCTGATTGGTAAATAGTTCTTTTACAAATATGAAACTAAAATTTAGGTGAAAGCTGTAATTTTGTGTGTTTGTTTACACATATTTAAATATATCTACAATTGATATTGTTGTAAATTTACTAACCTGAAAAGAAAAGGTATGCTGATAGGATCGACAACAAAAAATAGTCAGATTAACGATAACAAATAAGTTTATGGAGAAAGCGATGACTTTAATCTGACAGGAGACAATGAAAATGATAATAAATTAGAGGAAGACATCGCCGATCTTGCAAAAGAAATTTGTCTTATTTTGTTTTACGAAACAGTGCTCTAATGTAAAAGCAATACAAATAAAATGTAAAAATAATTTGAGAATGACATTATGTCAGACTTTATATGTTTTACTGAATGTAAACAAAATTAAACTAATCATAAACTCTTTATTATTTTAAAATGTTGCGCTAATACTTTTATTATTTTAAAATGTTGCACTAATACTTTTATTATTTTAAAATGTTGCGCTAATACTTTTATTATTTTAAAATGTTGCGCTAATTATTTTTATCTTTAACTAGGATCAGAGTTAATTGTATGATTAACGAGAAGAATACTTTTCGCTGGCCAGTTACTCCCGAGGAGATAAATAACCAAACTGAAAAAATTATCTGTTTAGTAAAAGTTTCTTTTCTAAGCAGTGTTTGTGGCGATTATTCATTATCCGAAAAAGACTGTAATACAGTCATATCATTATTCTTAGAGAAACTTACTGCAGCAGAGTAAAAAATATGTGTGATAATATGTGTAATAATATGTGTAAATGAATAAAATATGTGTGATAATATGTGTAAATGACTCTATTAATAAATGAAAAACTAATTTTTATATGGAAATACATTTAAATGTTTGATTTATGTTTTATTTAATTAGCCATATAGTTTTCTTGATGTTCGATTTTTGTTCAGTTTTTAATTCATGTTATATCATGCGTGTGACAAAATCACACGAGTTTTTTTTATTATTATGTTAGGACCACGTTGTATTGACAGTTGGATATGTTTACATTTTTACAAAACTTAGCGCCTCTGCCGTAATTGTTCATTTTGTAAGTATACTATAACATTTTTTTTCAATTTCAAGCCTTAATATATGAATTGGCCTTAGGTATCACATAACTTTCTTTGCATTTTTAGACTCAATACCTTAAATACTTTTAAATCCTAAAAAAAAAATCGTGTGCAACACTTCGCCGCTGGAAATAAGTCCCATTAAAAATTGACAAAACCGACTGTTCTTGTACTTTTGAACTATGATAATTAGCCAACCGCACAGTGTCACGTAACTTTTTTATATCTTTTGGAGAGAGCTTTTGGGTTACGTCTGATATTAACTTCAAAAGCTATGTGCAACTTTTTGCCTTGCCATAAAAATGGGTTCAAAGGTTGCAAAAACTAAATTTCTAAAAGTTTTTAAATGTTTTTTTTTCACTTAAAAATATTCTCAACTTAATAAGTAAAAATAAGCAAAAAAATTATACAGAAGTAGTTGTAGTTCCTCTCTTCTATTTCCCTGAGAAATACTCTTTGGTCTAAATGTTTGTTAAATTCAAGTTTT